TTTAGCGCTATAGAAATGGCTTGAAGACCACAATATATTGCGAAAGTTTTATCTCTAATAAGAATAGCAGTTCAACAATGGTTCATTACCGTTCAGTATTTCATCTATCTATGCGTATGCTGCTTGAGAGTAACAAGACGCTGGTAGTGGAGAAACCTGATGAGCCTAGTTTAAAACCGGTTGAATCCAAGCCGAGAGACTATATCTAGCTTTAGTATTTTAGTTTTGTGCCCTTGATTAAATTTAACCAATTACGGTACATATTAAGCCTTAAGGAGGTTAATATTTTAGCGAAAATATAAATGACGCATCCAGCCTTTAAATACAATAAATATGTGGTCATGCTAAAAATAACCAAATCATTTAATAATTGACATTGCAGGATAACCGCCCCATTAACCACCAGAAACTAGAATAATGACAGTAGTCTATCAACAAAATCATTTCCAATTAGATGAGATAGTTCATATGCGAACCCACAAAAATGGCACAATGATAAGCTTCTTCAGCCAAGCAATCTTTTATACTTCAAAACCATATTTTCAAACAATAACAAACACATCACTTTTCATCAATGGTTTAATAATAGTTTAACGGGTTTCCGAATGTTGTTAGTTCAAACCATGCGGACATTTCAATTTAAAATGCCAAACCGCGGGTGAACGACTGGACAGACAATTTAATTGGATAATAAAAATAAACAACTGCACGTGGGTTGGGATAGCCTAGAGGCCTAGAGTGTCGCGCTTTGAGCTCAAGATAGCCCGCCACCTCTGGCTACCGGTCTTGGTTTCGATCACTGCGTATGTGGCGCCTTCTCAACCTCATTGGCGACTTGTATGATATCACACTCGGTAGAAGTGGACGTTAAAAACCACGAACAACGAGACGACTTCAGTGAGTGTGTCTAATCTTTCGTTGCCCAGGCACACACCACTGCTTGGTCATGGCGATACAGCATACGTCCCAAATTGAAAGGCATGACTCTAGTACAAACGATGATATAACCTTAGCTTTCAAATTATTCCATCAATGTGTAGTGCAGTTGAACGTTTAATTTAGATATTTTCGTTGATAAGTTTCAGTTATTGACAATCGTGTTTGTGAAGTATAGTTCCTATTTTAGTTTGTGTTAACACTGGGCGACAATATTAACATAAGTGATTAATGGAAATAAAATGTTGTTTTAAATGAATATCGATTCGGCTGTAGATATTTAACTAGTGTCATGCTGCAGATTTTATGTCACATTTTAAATTAGTAGGTGATGGATTGAAAGGCTAAGTACCAATCTCAGGAGATTGAAAGAGTATCCGCTCCAAATTGAACTATTTCCTGGTAACCCTTAAATATTCTCAAAACCTTGTCATGTGCGACGAATGAAGGTTGGGGGGTTATTAGTTACATTATATCAATGGAGTCATTAAGCCCTAGAGTACCAGTGTTGATTATGCACCCGTCAGACCGAGTTGGCGTCCTTAATGCGCTGCTGCGACTGTACGGCGGCCAGAAAATGCACAAGGTCGCCTGGAAAAGAGAACACAACGCGAGAAAATGTCCCCCAAAATTAAAAATTTGAAAATAGTCGCTTTCTCACAGCCTTCCAAGAATGATCGCAGAACCTTGGCGTTTGTTTGGCAACCATGAAGACCACAGCACGATTTCTGGCGTTTTCACCATGTTTTTACCACGCTTATGGCGATCTTGGCGCGATCTGACACCATTTTCCGTCGCCGTAGCAGCACAATAAGGACACTACCCAGGGGGTATTACGACATCACTATTACAAAGATAGGATTTGGCTATAGTATTTGGGATTGTATAGCCGTTGATGTAAGGAGTCGCACGGCCGAGAAAATAACAACATTATATGCAAGAGAGAAATAGTTCGTCGTCATTGCATGTTTCATTTGGAAAGCTTTAAATGTTGGCTTTGAATAAAAGGAGAAATGTTACTCAATGGTATGGAATGTGGTTTAGCGCCCAGTGAACAACATGCGTCGTCCACCCGCTATTCGTTTGCAACTGTCTGAGGTTCTTTCAAGAGCCCACACGAGGTGGACGTCGTGGACCGACCGCCTTCTAACATTTTCTTTATGTGCCACACCTGACAAGCAAAGAATGATCTTGAAAACTCTCGAATATCCCACTCATCCGCGTCGTGATACAAAAATAAAATACCCAACGTGGGCAGATCTATTAGTCAACTAACAATGTTTGACGTCACGATAGCTCAATATAGTAAATTATCTAACGGACAATTAAAGTAACCAATTGTATAATAGGTTACCAATGGTGACGGACATATTTTGATAGCAATAATTGTTTAATCCATTGACGACTTCATGTCGTGATGTGAACAAATGGCGGATCAAAAGGTAGGGAACCAAGAAGAGTCCCAGCTCCTTCTTGATGAATAAAGACCACTAATTGATCGTGAAAGGCCCTCAGAAACTTCTGCCACGGTCGTGTATAAATATCTCAAGCTCTGTGAAATAGGCCTACAATCTGCGAGTCTCATGTGGGCTTGGTCATAAGTATATAACATAGTGATCTGTATCGTGGTTGTTAGCAATATAAGTATAGGGCTATAACCTTACATGATCATGACCATGACCAACGCCATATTTGTAAATCTAAAGCTTATTAAATAATCAGTAGAGAAGAAAGATTATAAAGGAAAAGTTGCGCTGACAATCAGGGAGTGGGCGATTTAGGGGGTAAACCCCTTCATTAAGATGTACCTTTTATGTTCCCGTGAATCAGATGCTGTTAACTAACCTAAAGTTCCAGGGTTCGATTCCTGTGCTGGCCGAGAACGTTCCCAGGGATTTTCCAGCATGGTTCCCCTGTCGCGATGAAGAGTATGGGGAAATGCCGCTATCCGGGCCCAGTTTCCCTTGTAGCACAATACTGACTCTAGGGCACATTTTGATAATGGCTTGGGTTCATCAATAAAAGGAAAAAAGTTAAATTTAACGGAAACATTATTACAAAAAATTCAGAACCAATTTATTTCGACAATACTGTAATTACTATAGGATGACAGTAGCTAGATTACAACTTTTTTACTTTATTTTTGTGTGGTCTGGATTTCTGGCTAGCCCTAAGGTACGTGCCTCATTTGCCTAATGGTTAATCCGGCACTGCTTTGTCAGGTTGATTGGACGTTAAACCCACATTTCATTTCCCGTTGATAGCCTATAAAGGGTATTATGATTTACAAGCTAACGATTGTCTACGATATCACCTTAGGTGGAAATGGACGTAAAAAAAACTCTAGGAACGAACGAACAAGCTAACGATCTCACTAATTCCAAACTAATAGCCGTTCCTGGATAACCATGTATACTTTGGCGAAGTTACAGTAAGTTGGAAATTGATCGCCACGATTATCAAGTCACTTATATTATTAAATTGATCTGTTTGTGGCAGATTATGGTCCTGAGTAAAAATCATTCGTTCGTGAAGGATATCAACATTTTATCACCCAATAATACATTCTACAGTAGATATCAGAAAATATCAACACAAGTCGATAAAGTAAAAAAAAAACGAGATTCTCTTTACAACAAACGTTTAGGTGCACTTTTTCAAATTGATAATAAAAACATCATTAAAACTATTTCATTTTTAAGAAAAAGTAAAATATATCACAATCCTCCTTAGATAAATTGTATGAATGCGTTATTAAACATACTTTAGAATAATTATGTATGCGAAGTTTGGGATTCCTGTACAAATTTCAATATTTATAAATTAGAATTATTTCAACTTAAAGCAGCAAAAATTGTCACAGGAGACCAGCCTCATATTTTGAAACTGGGTGACCAAAATTATCAGATCGCAGAAAAATCAGCAGAATTTGTTTATTTTGAAAAATTATAAATATTGACTTTCCCTCATACCTTTGTCCTTTCTTTCAATAATATAAGATAATCTAAGAAACTAAGATAATATACCAATTCATTTTTGTAGACTAAGTTATAAAAACAACCTGGTTTATCTAAAACCATTTCTGAATATAAACTATCAGCTGATAAAAGGAATGCCAATTCATTTTTCAAGAAATATTGTAGAAACACTGACAATTCTTTATAACAGATTCTGTCATCCATCAAGTAGCCTTAATCATGATCTATTTCAGTTAAATGTTATTGACATTCCCCTAATGTCCTATGTTAATTATCTTAATAATGTTCCCTTTGACGAATTATTAAATATCTTACTAAATTGGATCCCTGTTTTACCCAGCGTTTTCAACAAGAAAATATTTCTTGCGGCTGAACGTAATATTTTCAGCACAAAATCTTTTAACAGTAAATTATCACCTTGTTTTTATTGATTGATACACATTCACACAATAGCACACTGATATTTATCATTGTTTAGACAGTTAATAACAGTGAATAATATATATTAGATGCGGAGCAACGGTGGTTCAGTGATTTAGGGCGTTGACTCGCTAACCTGGAGGTCCCGTGTTCGATCCCTGCGTTGGCCGAGAAAGTTCATCAGGATTTACCGGCGTGGTTCCCCTTTGTCAGGGGTATAAGACGGAGGGCCTCGCATGTGACAACAGAATAATAGTATTTAGAATAGGACGAAAAACCAAGTTCCGTGTACACATTGGCGCCCACGTATAAGCACCCTTCACAGTTGGAATCCAAAAAAACTTCCCTCATAGCACACTGCATGGCGTATGCCTGTCTTTATTTGTCTTGTCGTAGCAGAACAGTAGGACATTAAACACCATTTCATTTCATTTCTTTGAATGGCTGAGTTGTCGAATAACAGTCGCTCGCGCCTTGTTAGTTCAGTCTAAGATATGTTCATTAAATGAGTTGAAATTCGAAATAAGAGTAGGCCGTAGCGCCGCTATCCAGACAAAGTTTCACCCATAGCTACTACACTGCATGGCATACGCCAATCTTCAGTAAAGTAGTACGTTAAAGCTTTTTTTTCCCTTTTCATTCCATGTACTTACTGGTCAATTTCAGGACTACAGAATTCTGCAGCGTCATGTTATATCGTGGTTATTATAGATCTTATATCAGCTGCTATTGTTGGACTGATTGGTATTACACAAAAACAGGTAGCAAGCTGTATGGTCACAGGAGTCTTATACTGTATGGCAGGTATGTTAATTAATAGTACGAGTCTTGTAAGACAGTTACGTGTTAATTAGACATTCAGGTCTTATTTTGTATGGCGGGCACGTTAATTAAACACTTGATGGTCCGTATAATGCATGGCAGGTGCGTTGATTAAACAAGGGGTCCTTACAATATATGGCAGGCACGTTTATGGTTGGTACGTTAAGTGAACAGGGATGTATGGCAGAGGTGTTTATTAAACAGAATGGTATTATACTGTATGGTCGGTATGTTTATTAAACACATCGGTCTTATACTGTATGGTTGGTACGTTTATCAAACACAATGGTCTTATACTGTATGACATGTACTTGTTATTTCCTTTTATCCCCCCCCCCCCATGCATGTTATGAAACGATCAACCTGTTGTGACGTCATCAGAGAGTGATATCTGATATCGACCCTAGGGACGATATCAGATATCACTCTCTGATGACGTCACAACAGGTTTACGGACTCGGCAAAGAAAAAGGACACACATTCTTTCTTTTAACATTTTATTCACTTATTGTACAATGTTGTACAAACTTTGCCAGGCCCATGTTACTTAGTTTCTTAATCTGACCATCAGGAACGTGTCTGAAACTCAAATTCTGGATTGTGTAGTACATGTATATCCACATCAGTTGTATTCGTAATCCATAAATACGGAATTCAGTGCTTAATTAATATTCATTATTTTATTTTTTGCTTACTTCCAAGACGAATCTAGACATCCAAAAAATAAGATCTTATATACTCATATCTTTCGCTCATTATCGTGTTTATTATTCCGCCACACTGACTTGTTACCTGTTAAAAAAGTTCACACCCCACTGATTTTTGGGCAGGTATTGTTGGCACATTCACTGACGACTTGTCACTCGAAATTGAAAAGCGTGTATCACAATCGGAAAAAATCTGAGTACATTAAATCCTTGTTAAACATTTTCTGCATAAATTCTGCACTCTGACTAGCTTTAAATAATTCTTTGTCAGAATCTACGTTTTCTTTTTCATCCATATTTTCTACAAACGGACTTGCGCGCATCAGTTCGTCGTCCAAATCGTTTGACAACATTGCACAAAATGAATGCCAGTTTATGAACACGTGGTTACTAAAATGTAATACACGTGTAACTTACGACTTGTTTTCTTAATTTTGTCACATCATTCGGAGGGTCGATATGGGCTTAAGATAGATTTAACATTGATGTCGGTGTGTAAGACAAATATTACCCTAACACCCTCGGTTAGGGTAATATTTATCTCTTGTACAGGTACATTGCACATACTTTTTTTTATACCGACGTATATCAGAGGGGTGAGCATATCTCGAAGAGATGGCCCAAGAAATCCCTCTCTAACCATTGCTGTACTGACAGCAAAAACTTTAGTTTTTGACGGAGTGTGTCTATTTCTATCGTCCAATCAAATCCCTCCTGGGTAGGCCTACAGTAGAATCTGTATTCAGCAGCTACAACAGGGAATTTTCATGACTGATCGTTTACCGGCAGTGACTAGCTAAGAAAATCACAGCGTTTGCTAGTATTGATATCAAGTAAAATTTTATGCTTGGATTCATCGGGAGCAAACATCCATACTCGCATCTGTAAATTTGGCCGTCGCTCGAACTCGCTATTGGAACGAAATTTTTTTGACTCAAATCTCCGATATAAATTATGGAAACGTGTTTGCTTGTGCCAACATTAATTACTTCCTACCTTTGTTATGCATTTGATATTATCCATTTTTATGAAGAAAATTCATGAATTATTTTTATTTGATCAAACTTGTCAAAACAAACTTTAAAGGTGGAAGTCATATGTCTATCCAGTTTGTAGAAATACAATACGTAGCATGACAGTCCGTCTCTTTGATTTAGGGTCTGTCCGAAAACTTCAAACATTTGGTGAAATGTATTAAACAATGTGAAAATATTGTCTGCCATGTGGTCAACAATTGATAAAAAGATTCCACATGTGACAATAATGTTGCGTTGTAGCTATTTTGGAGAATAGCCCCGTTTGTCACACAATTAACTTTTCTGCAATGCACTGGTTAATTGAGCATAATACATTTCTCTTGTTATGACGTAGTGCAGCCACTATTGTCATTGTATTAGCATATTTTGGTTAATTCCGATTGGGTAATTTGGAACAGACATTTACGATGAGTCCGGCAGTGTTGGAGTGGGATTGGGTCTAATCAAACGAAATATTGCGAGAAGTATGGGTGGGGGAGGGGGTGTAATATGGTGATAGGTTGATGAAATAGGTAATGTCTTTCTTTTTTCAGCTACTGTTGTTAATATTGTTCTTTTATATTTTTCAGCTTTATTTGGTGTATTTGGTCTATCTATGTTTCATACCAAGGATTATTATGAAAAATTCAACTGTTATAGTTTGACTGAAATCCCTACGGCTGTTTGTCCAGCACGAGTTGTTACAATAGACTGGGCTATACCAGTAGCATGGTGTGGAGTCTTATTCTGTGTCTTAGCCTGTACGCTCTGGTTAATAGTTGCACGGGCATTACGTGTTATTAAAGCTAAAACGATGCTTTAGAAGTGGTAAGTGTGTGAATTATTTACTGAAGCGGAAATGAAACGTCACAAGTGCTTTTATTTACAACATTTGAAAAGACGAAATACGCTAAGTGTAAGGCTATACTATCACATGTGATTTTATTAGCAACATTTAAAAGACGAAATGCCCTCAGTGAAAGCTCATTCCATGTATTGAATTAAATTGGTAAAACGTTCAATGACATTAGACGACTCTTTACAATTCGGGCCACTTAAACATGTTTCAACGCATGACGGGAGGAGAATATGAAATCGACAACGTCAATAACTCAAGTGTGCAACAAGATAAGAACAATTCTACGTTGTTTATTGTCATTATGTCACAGGGTACAAATACAATAACTGGTGAAACTAATCTATGTATTGAACAAGTTTCATAAAAAAAATCAAAAGGGAAGAAAACTCATGTCCGGTACACATGTGTTGTTGATGAGGAATAATTGATTCATCATTTGCAAAAATATTCCAAAACACGTGACTTCTGGTTTAGTCCTAAGAATAACTTAAATGACGAACTAAAGATATTCATCACATAGTTAAAATACATAGAGTGAACATTTCTATCTATATCTAGGCATTCCCTTCAAAGCACCATTTTCCCAGTATCTTCCCAGTTTTCTTTCAGAATAATATACTTTGGTGTCAGTGCTCTAGGAATATAATCCCCAACAATTTTCTAGAGTGATATACTCTGTTGTCAGTGCTCTAGGAATGTACTTCCATACAATTGTCTAGAGTGATACACACTGTTGTCAGTATTCTAGGAATATTATAGTTACGTGCAGTTATCTAGCGAAAACAAACTCTATGTGCTCCAGTGACATAATCTCGCACAATTATATCGTATATACCAAAGTTGGTTTGTCTTGTAAAGTATCTTGAAATGCAGATTTGATATTTAGATATGCGGACAGTTTGCTAAATATGTTCGTCAAATGGAAAAGACAAACATGATTTTAAACACGAAATAAAACCCCTACCATATTATATTATACGATGGTCAATTATCGCTGGAAGTAATGTTTTAGGAAACATTTTTCTTACATAAGTCTTCATGGTGAGGATGTATGCCAGGTGAAATGAAAAGGCCCACCATGGGCAAGTTGTCGAAACAATTAGAATACCAAATTCGCCTTAAGTGTTTCTATCTGAATCCAAATATTTATAGGCGAGTGTAATTATAAAATAGTGCTGTAATGAAAATGAATTAATTATTCTCTTAACACACAGTGCCATTGATAATATTAATTTCAAAATCAATTGATATCTTGTTTTCGTCCACGGATAAGCTGTGATACATAGGTTTAAAAATGTATATTTGATAAATTTAGCACTTTACATTAATGTTGCATAAGTTGCGTATTGGTGTATCATCTATAGAAATAGTGAAGTTGTTATTAATCTAACAAACAAATCAAGCTATAACCTAGCCGTCTACAGCTCACTGCCCCCCCACCCCAACCCACAACCCACAACCCACATCGGGGAGTCGTTTTAAGAGTGTTTATTCACAGCCGTGTTATCGAGATGTTTTCACTAAAGGTTGTTTTTACAGAAGCAAAAATTATTAGAAATGCTAACTTTTCAAAAACAAAATTAACATTTAACTCCATTAAACAGGAGCTAGAATTACTTTCCAATTAACAATTAACTCTATTAAACAGGAACTAGAGCTTTGGAGATCTCTATCGGTCGGTAATAAACTAATTTTCAATTTGTCCTTTTTTACTCGACTGAAAACGGGGCTTTCACATCATTATCACGGGACAGTTTTATAGAACCTATGGGATCAATAATAAAGATGTAAATGTCTAATGTCGTAAATAGAAAATCTATACAACATCCTGTTTATATTTTAATGATGATCAAAGTATGTTTATGTGTGTCCTTTAAATACACAAGTACGAAGGAGCCAGACTTCTTTGATGTACATATAAAAATAATGTATTTTTTTCGCTTGATCTTGTGTTATATTTCCATATTTGCATTGATGAATTTGGGTTTGGTGGTCGTTATGGGTTAACGCGTGCACTTTAGATTATAAGAGAGAGAGAGAGAGAGAGAGAGAGAGAAAGAGAGAGAGATTGGGTTTAACGTTCACTCGACACAATCTAGGTCATTTCGGGACTAACATATGGTTTAATATTTTTACTTCAATAATTCGCTTGCGCAGTGTTGTCACGTACAACCGGGGATTCGAAACCACGCTAGTTGACTCAATGACAGGCCTCATGATACAGCGCGCACGTGCTAACCATTCGGCCACCACCCCCCGCTTTAGATTATAAGATCTGTCTTTGAGTTAACTGTCTTGGTTTCGATTCGGAGTAGGGTCGCCTTCGGTTTTCTCCCACTGCCAAATATCCATTCGCGTAAGCGAATTATTGAAATAGAATTAAAACACATGTTAGTCCTGATATGGTTTAGTTAGGAGTTAGTGTCGAGTGGACTTTAAACTATCTGCATCTCATGCAAAAACCAGTTATCGTCTGAAATCTGTCACGAAGCTCAGCCTACAGTTTGAATTGATTAGTTAAAGTATGTTTCCTGACATAAGGACATTGTATATATTATTTATTATGACCTTATTACATGTTCAAAACGATTATGTGTATCCATAGCATGTTTCTCAAGCCTTAGTAACAATTATGTTTATTGATTTGCATTGATTTGAATCAACAGGAGAATATGTGTTCTTTATGTAGCACTTACATACATAGGTATGATATCCTGTCGCGCTTTTAGCTATAATCAATTTTTAAAATCGTGCCTGTGCATTTGTCAGTATAAGTGTAAATATACAAGGCCACACTAATCTGATTTTCTGTTCTTCGGGAAAATCTGAAATAAATTCCCTTCTTATTCCTTCGGGAAAAAGACTTATTTGAGAAGATCAAAAGTACTTGGTTGTACTGTTCCAAATTTTTAAGTTCTGAAATTTTAAACAAAACATCTTTCAGATGATCCAAGTGGCTAATTATTCATCAAGACCCAGAAGAATAGAAAACCAAATTGGTGTGGCCTAAGATTGAAACTCTGATTATACCTGATACGACAAACAATAAATCGAAACATTTTCTTGGATCAGCCCTGGTACAAGAAATGAAATACTTTATTAGTCATAATATTTTTAATAACTGATAAAAGTATATAAGAAAGGAATGTCAGATTATCATAATTTCTTAGCGCCTGTTAATATAGAGTTATCTCCCTTGGGTTCACCATTCACGTTTGCGTCTGTCTACTGTGATAGCAGTACATGTATATTTGTTGTAAAATAGAATTGACTTTATTTGTGTATCATTTTAAACCTGATAAAATCTCATCCATGCAGCTCTCTTCTGACAGTCCGATAGAATCTACGAAACGAAACAGTTGAATTGTTTGAACACAGGGTAATAATCAACGCATCATACGAAAAATCTGGTCCTCCTGCTCTCTAAAACTTAAAAGTCACATCTGATTAAGATACAGATCTATATTTTGTTTCCTTTTTTATACTTTCAATGGCCTCAACTGGTGCAGTGAAAACAAGTGAAACGAATTTGTGACTATAAAAAGCTAAACTAAATATAATCTATGTTTTAATTAGTTATAAATAACTGACATGTTAAAGATTTTAATCTCCTTGATAATTGAAATATTTGAATTAGAGATCCAAGCGGTTCAGATTAACGGACGATTTTCAGGGTAAAGATACGTGGGTAATTATTTATTTAAGGTACATAATTTAATTTATTTTTTCACTACCATATCATACTGCACATATTATATATGGTGCCAAGATTAGATTATATAGGCCTACAGGTGTCAACGTTTGAATCGGTGCTCGCCTATATAGACATTCCATTTATTTCTAGACCTATCATTTTACTACTATATACCATTATAAAATGATTTTTGAAACATGTACCATTATAAAATGGTTTTGTAAACATTGGCTATAATATATACTTTTTAAATTTTATTTCACAAGATGCTCACACTGCTTACTGGTATATATGTTAATTGAAATATCGCATGCCCGTGACTCGCATTACAAGGAGAGGGGAGGAAGTATACTTTTGTTTCTTTATTAACATTTTAAACTTTCTCCCTATAGGCCTTCGCTTTGGTCACTTGTACTAGCTACCCTTGGTAATAGTTAGGCTATTTGTTTTTACTTGTTTTAACACACTCGAGATTTTATTTGCTCACACAAATATTCGAATATTCAAATGTATTTAGTATTCGTTATTCCATGTCAATTAAAACAACTGGAATCGGATCTGTTTTGTCTCCTGTGAAATATTTAATAATAGCCCACTGACTCAGTAAATCACTAATAATCCTAAAGGAAAATATATTGGGTTAAGATATTTTTAGTTTCTAAATTTTCAAAATAGTCCAAAAACGGCCAAAAATTGATAATTCAGTTAAATCGAATATTCGAATAATATTCGGGTAATAAATTATAATATTCGAATAGTAAAAACATCAACGCGATCATCTAGTAATAGCATATTATAGACATAGCCTGACTATTTCCATGGGAGGGATTAACTATAGCGGACCGAGGGATAGGTTATTCCCAGCGTTCGGATACAATATACATTCACCAAACCAGCATTGCTATTTAATGTAGTTAGTTTCTTAAATGAAGCTAAACCAAATACAGTTTCTGTTTTTAATGCTTTTATTGTAAATTTACTGGAAAGGCAAACTATCCATTTTGAAAAATAAGTTTCCTACTCTATACCACGTTAGTTCAGGTCAAAAAGGTATTTAATTTCTTTTATCTGGTGTGTTAGTTCAAAAGTAATGATACAAGCTCTTTCGATTAAAAATGTTTACCGAAATATAAGTCTGCTTACTAATTTTAGTCTATTTCTTGCCATAATGTTTCCACAGTAGAAAAACAAATCGGAGTTATATCACAGCTATAACTTTATCTATAGACGTAAACCTGTCAATAAAGACATATTGACACTCCTCAAAACGATCTGCATATAAAATCTACGAAACGAAAGTTTTAGTTTTGTACCGAAATTAAGGAGTGGTTGATTGCCACGTATTTGAATCTGGGCGGCTAATCCATATTGAGGTTTTCAATACAGATTTTCTCATCTGAATCCAAAATCTTCATATTGAAGATCGCCGTCAATCGCGGGTGAAAAACAACACACGTCAGTCTTACAACGCATTATATAGAAATTTGTAAAACCTGTCACTTGTGACTCAGATCTTGAAAGAGAATCTAGATTTGAATCTTGACACTCAATTACGCCAAATACGCTGTTTAAATCACAATTATTCGAAATTATTCTAAACATTATATTTGGAAAATAGATTGTTTGAATTCCCGTTTAAGAAAGCTAACTGAGTTTGCCTTTTCTGTATTATTTTATTGACAGCATAAATAAGGGTCTCTATGTATACTTAATTTATTTCAAAAAGTTATTGTAAATAAAACTGTTACCTGAAAATCATTAATTTGTTTGTTGTTTTGTTTGGGCTTTCGTGTGTGTGTGTGTGTGTGTGGGGGGGGGGGGTCATTGTAAATCCTCGATGATCAAAACAAAGGGTTTAATTCAGTTCAATGCCTTACTGCCTGACGTTAAAAGACTTATCTGCACACATAGATCGGCCTTATACGCTCACTGAACTGGCCAACAATTGACGTTTATGCACCCATATAAACCCCAAAATACAACGTATACTGTACCCCTATAGATCACGACAAAGTGTTACGATGTCCATGTAGATAGATCAATACAAAGTATTACGGT